CAATTTCGAACCAAATGTACTGTGTGTTTGTATAATTTATTGTCATGACGTTTTCATGGAAATCATTAAAGACACTGATAACGTGACTTTGACTAAAACCTGAATAAAGCCTTCTGATCTCAGCTGTCTCAATACAGGTCCATTTGACTATAAAGCAAACATTCATAATAAGTAGAAAACGGAGAAGTCTGCAATTTGTTGTAAGGGTGTTCAAATAATCGTGTAAGGCTAAATAAAGTTAAAAATTGATTTTTGATTTTTCTTTTTAATTAAAACAAAAGTCCCATTTTGTTTTTCGTTAAAAAAGAGGGCAGACTGCCACATGCAGTGCCTGATATATGGGGCTCATCGTCCCCTTGAGATCATCCTCACGCTCTTCAACAGTTCAACCGTCGCGGGGCTCATCGTCCCCGAGATCATCCTCTTGCTCCTCAACCTTCGCGGGGCTCATCGTCCCCTTGAGTAAAAGTTAATTGGAAATTTGATGAACGACGTCAACCTATCTGTAAAGTCGTAGCATTTCAGGCCTTCATATAGCCCACGTGAAACCACGCCTTCCCGTAAACCCTGTCTCAAAAAGCCAAGAAATAAAAGAAGTTTTGTACTTATTTTGTGTGTCTGTGTGTGGGCGTGAGGGGGGGTGTACGCCACAAAGCACACGGGGAGGTCAACTTTGTGGAATCAGTTCTCTCCTTTCATTTTGATGTGAGTTCCAGGAACTGAACTCAGGTCTCTAGCCTTGTACAGCAAGCACCGTTGTCTACTGAGTCATCTTGCCATCTCCCAATAAAAATACCTTTCAACCTCCCTGTTGATGTCCAGCCCCGCTCCCTTACCCTCTTTCTCTCCCTTCCTCTCCCCATTTTCTCTCTTTTCCTTTCTTTTTTGAGGTAGTTTCACTAGCCCAGGCTTCAAACTTGCAGTTCTCCTGCTTCAGCCTCCCAAGCCCTCAGATTACAAGCAACTGCCACCAAGCACAGCTGATTTATATCATTTCTATTTGAAAATGTCTTAAAGGAAGAAACTGCACTTACAAAGAGCAGGTAATCAGTTAACACTTCATGGATGAATGAAGATAATGCTTATCATCGAGGCTTTAAGATAAATACAAGGAGGAACAAAGAGTGAGGTCGGTGGATTTACCCTACACATGAAAGTTCCACCTGTGAGCAAGTGTTAGCGGTGCAGTTGCTTTGTCTTTACAGGAAAGCTTAAGGCAGAGTGGGAATATGTCCTGGTACCTATAAGTAAATGTGTTGGCCAGGTGGCATACAATGTCCTGTACTGGTTAGGAAGGAGATAAGAAGCAAAATGAAAAGAGAATTTGAATGGGTTTAAGTGGAAAGGGGAAAAGCCAGAATTAATAAGCACAAGGAAAGGAAAGCGAACGTTATTAACAAGACATGTTCAGACATAGATATGATTTACACCTGGTACGATTAGGGCCCATTTCAGTCTTGAGTACCAAGCGTCACCAAGGCTGAAGCACCACACCTATATGGTGCTGGAGAGCAATTATGCAGCATCAGGCTGAAAATGCCAAGTCAATTGAGTCCGCCCTTTAACCTAGAGTGCTGAGTCAGTCCACCAGAGAAACATGAGCCTGTGTGCACAGCAACAGGGCTGCAGTCACGTCCAGTCAGCACTCCTTCCACAAGCTAAAACTAAACACAGTATGTGCTTGCCAAGAAGAAAAGGAATAAGCAATGATCCAGTACAGATAATAAACCATGGTATTAGCTATATAGCAACTGATACTCTATTATATAATCTATGATAAGTGTTAGGGTTCCAAACAGCAGCAGTTTTCCCCCCTCCCCAACAGGGACCTCACCTTGACCTTTGGATTCAAGGGAAACAAACTCTGCTGAGAAGCAGCCTACCTTTCCTTTGACCTCCAAAGATAAGATAAGCAGATTCTACCTGATAACCAGAGATTTTAGAAGCTGTTTTTCTCTTATCTTAAGAGGGAAAAAGTAAACACTTCCAGACCCTAATCCTACCTACGTTTCCTGCTTCCCCCTCCCTGATTTCTCCCCAAACATTCCCCCCTTCCACACCTTAAAGCCCCCAGATATAAAGTCCCAGCTCACAACCCGTGGGCTGACATCTTTCCCTTCCCTGACATCTTTCCCTGATATCTTTCCCTTCCCTTCCTTTCCCTGCCCTTCCCTTCCCTTCCCTTCCCTTCCCTTCCCTCCTTCCCTTCCCTGACATCTCTCCCTTCCCTGACATCTTTCCCTTCCCTTCCCTGCCCTTCCCTGACATCTTTCCCTTCCCTGACATCTTTCCCTTCCCTGACATTTTTCCCTTCCCCAAGGGAAAGGTGTTCCATGCGAAATAAGGTTGTATCCCGCTGAGAATTCTATCTGTGCCTCAGTGCCTCCTCCTCCATCCACACCTCTCCATCCCAACTTTTTAAACTAACAATAAGTACATACAATTGCAAACACATATTCATTAAAATGAAGTGGCAATCCAGGATCATGTCCATATAAACTTGGCCAGGCGTGGTGGCGCACGCCTTTAATCCCAGCACTTGGGAGGCAGAGGCAGGCGGATCTCTGTGAGTTCAAGGCCAGGCTGGTCTACATAGTGAGTTCCAGGACAGCTGGGGCTACAGGGAGACCCTTTCTCAAAAAAACAAAAAAAAAAAAAAAAGCAAAACCACACTGAGTTTCATATGTATTTTCTAAATGCATGGAAATAGTTAACATCCAAATCAGGGCTGGAATGGAGGTGGGGAAAGATAGTCCTAGCTGTACTCTGGGCTTCAAATGTGTTGGAAAAATTCTTCAGTGGCATGATGGGTATATGGGTACTGTATTCCTTTACAGAACGAACCATAATGGAAGAGGGTGGAGGGAAGTGAAGGTTGGGTGTTTATTAGGTGCAAGGGCCGGCCATCTGTGGGCCTGTGAAGAGGATGGGGGATGGGTCTACTGGGAACAAGGTCATCCTCTTGGAGGACTGCCGCGAACCAAGACTCCTTCCGGCAGAGTCAAGGAGAGACGACACAGACACCAAGGTGAGGTTCAAGCTTCTTCTCTTTTTATTGCACACTTCAGTTCTTATATATTTTGTTCCCAACAGCCATCCCCCCAGCTAGGACCAATCAAGGCACACACACGCACGCAGCAGGCAGGCAGAATGGCAGCTCATTGGGCCACATAGCAGGGTCATGCTTGGTGATGTCTGTGATCAGGCAGGCAGCACATGATCGGGCTCATAGCGCTTGCGTGAGTTGGAGTAAACAAGCGAGGGTCACAAGGCTTGGCAGCCAGCCAGGGCGCCATCTTTGGCTTACTCGGCCACCTCGCTCCCCACAGAGGACTTATTTAACAAAGAGTAGGGAGAGTCTAGCAATCTGCCCACCTTCCAACTGGGAGGGACTCTGATGCCCTGGAGCAGCTGGAACACAGACACTCAACACTGGCCTTGGGCCTCAGATGTAGGACCTCAGGAGTCTGCAAAGTTATCTTTTGTTTTCCCTGGGGCCAGGGAAGACTCAGCTCCACTCCCTATCTCTTATGAGGACAGAGCCATGTGGGGCAGGGTGAGCCCCAAGGGCCAAGAAAGGGAGCAAAAGGCAGGGCAGCCGAGGGAGGCCTGGGCCTTGCACCTGGGGGACCTCCTCCGAAGACTTCTGTGCTCCTCTTGCCACATGCGGATCATGTGTTTTTCATCATTTAGGACTTAATAATCATTACTTGCCTGAATTTATTTTGCTGATTACAGATACTGTCCCTGAAGATTTTCCAGACAAACCAGAACTGGACCATGGATTTGATGGAATAAAGTCCTTGCTGGGATTTGGAAGTATGCCATTTCTTATATTTATACCTAGCAGAGAGAGAAGAAATGAGCTTAAAATAGAAATTAAGACAGAGGCTATGGTACATTTATGCAATGGAATATTATTCTGTCCTAAACAGCACACGTTCTTGCAATTTGCCAAGACATGGACATTACGCCAAGTGAAACAAAGTAAGACAAAGGAAAAGACAAGCATGATCTCATTTATATGTGGAATCTAAACACACACACACACACACCCCAAGTACACAAATATAATTTTTTAAGGTCTACATAGTGAGTTCCAGGACTGCTGGGGCTACAGAGAGACCCTATCTCAAAAAGGCCAAAAGAAGAGAAAAAGTAGTTACCAGAGGACAGGGTGACAGATGGAAGAACTATGGAGGGATGAACATCAGAGAACACAGTCTCCATCAGTCTATGAGGTTGGGATATGAGGAATTTGGAGAGCCTCAGGCCGTTATCAAATTATACTACTGACATTTAGTTCCTATGGTACTACCCAGAAAGCATGACTAAGCTCCTACCCTGATTTCCTGGCTAATTTCTTTTATATCTGGGTTGATAGAGAGAGGCTTCGGGCATGCTGCCTAGTTCTTACCAATTCATCCTTAGAGGCTAAACTCAGTCTTCTATACCAGATTTATCATCTCCAGTTGCCAATGTGAGAAAAAAATGCAAAACCCAAATATCCTATCATGTCCCGTCACCACTCTCCTATCCTGCGTCCCCATCCCCAATTCCCCCAACCCCCGATTTTGAGGCCAGTGTGTGCAGAGATAACAACTAGGGAGGCAATGCAGAATACAGCATGAGGTCTCTTTGGGGCCCTGTCACAAATCTGGATTTCATTTCATAAGAATGGAAAGCTTAAAGGGTTTTGACCCGGAGTGGCATGATGCCATCTATATCTGTGTGTCAAGCGGGGCAAGGAAGTACTCACCTCCTGAAACAGAACCTTTGTAAGTGTGTGATTGCAAGGATGGGATTTCATGTGAGTGAGCAAAGTGCAGCAAGCCCTTCCTATTACCAGGCAAGTATCGAGCGTGCTTCAAGTAGTGCTGCTTCGCCGCAGACCGCAGGGTCGGCGTGTCTCCTCTCTGGCACGAAGCCTGGGTGGAGACACTAGTTCTAGTACCCACAGGTTCAGATGGCTTCAGATCCAAGACGCTTTCAAATCTGAATCAAGAGAATTTCAGGACAGAGGTGTGGAACGCCCAGATAGGTGCAGAGGACCTGCACCCAGATTCAGTCTGCTGCAGGCACAAGCAGTGCACTTGCCTGAGGAGAGTGTCATCGCTCTGTCTCTTCTTGGTTTTCACATCTATCCTGGTCAGGGCTGGACTGAAGTCCAAGTCATCTAAATCAGCCCAATCATCAGACCCCCTCATTGACCAGGAAATTAGACCCCACCTTCTCCTACTCTTTGGCTTGGTCTCACGATTTTTGTGTTCCGGGCCAGCTAGGATTTTCTGTATAGACAAAAAGAGGGGAAGAAAAAGAAAAAAGCATATTAACAGAGTTCATCTACTAGTAGTCTCTCTCTCATTTTCTCTTTCTCTTCTGTCCTCTCTCACTCTCTCTCTGTATGAGTGTGTACATGTGTGTATGTATGTGGGCATGCACATGTGTGCACACTGAGGATTGAATCCCTGGCCTTGCACATACAAGACAGGTGCTGTACTGAAGGTGATACACTGAGCCATGACCAACCTCAATCCCTCCATCAGTAATTTCTATTCTGAATTTCCTTTGTTACAAAAAGAAGGATCTTGGAGCACAGCACTCTCTGAAAGGCATCACTTATTTGACAGTGTAACGGTGCAAACTGCAGACCTAGGCCTTCTGTCTCTGTATCCTGTAACGATGACATTTCTTGTGAACATTGTTACATGAAACAAAGATATAAGAAAGGAAAGCATCTTGATTTATTTTCCTGTTGCTATGATAAAATACCCCAACAAAAGTGCCTTAACAGAGAAAGGGGTTTTCTGCTCACAATTCTAAGTACAGTTCACCATAGCTGGGAAATCAAGATGATAGGAACGTGAAGCAGTTCGTCATATTACACCCACCGTCAAAAGCAGACAGTAAATTAATGCATGAGCACTACTGCTCAGATGCCTTCCTCTGCTTTATAAAGTCCAGTGCCCAGCCCATGAAATGGTGCTGCTCACACTGAGGGTATAGAATCCCCTTACCAGGTGATTCTACATTAGGTCAAGTCAAGAATCAAAACCATAACAGAAAGTTAAGATTCTACTTTTATACTAGGAAGATGGCTGGATGCTAACTTGAGCCTCATTTATGAAAGGGTTCTTATTGCTACAATAGAGACAAGTTTTAGCCACCCTGCTATTGTAGGGAAACCAGCGCAAACAATGACTCCCGTGGCTTCTCAGCAGGCCTGGGAACTATCTCTGAAGTACAGGAATTAACAACAGGACATTTCCCAAAAGGCCACTTCCCAATTGTGAGAAGAGGAAAGTGCCAAGAGACAGGAGCCCACAGCCTCTGGGGACATCCATAGGTACTGGGGGGGGAGACTGGTGAATCGTTAGTTGTCAGAAAAAGCATCTCTTTTGCATAAGGTTTTAGAGAGTCAGACTCTGGAGAGCATTACAAAGCAAAAAATAACAACAGGTTACTATTGGCATAGATTCTATGAACTAATGTACATTGTTTGCTTGAAAACTAGCTCAAGGAAAGAAAGATCTGTGCTGAATTAATAGCTCAGCATTCACATCCATCTATAGTAGTAATATGTTAGTCTACAGATGTCAGCAAGGTTCTAGCTCCTCCTGGTTTTCAAGCATCTTCATAAGCATTAGGATTTCCTAATCCTCATGAACAACCCATTCTGGTGGGGAAAGGCCAAGCAACTTGCTTCAGGCAATCGGGCTACTGCAGGGCAGAACCTGGTTACAGGGTCCAGCTGGCCAACACTACTCACTACTACACATTTGCCACCAGCAGTGGTACTGTTAATAGAAAAAGCCAGAAACTGAATTTAGACCTGGAACCAAGGGCTTTTTCACAATGCCATGCTATTGCAAAGATAAATGAATTACACCTTATGAACTGAAAAAGAAAACATTTCACACAATGCTTGTGGTTAGAAGAGAAACAAGTGAGACACACCTCCCTGGTAAACCCTGGCCACTTACGGGCTGAGGATTCCTGTTGTGGAGGGATGGGAAGAGTGGGCTTGGCTTGTCCTCCTGAAGATGGGTCAGCTGATCTGCCTTGGAAGCTTCAGCTTTATAGGGGTACACAAGATGTGGAGGAGACTGACTGCTTTGATGTGGTCATGAAGATACCAGTGTAAGTATCTTGGTTGGGGGCTGGGCAGGAGGGGCTGGCTTGGTATGAGGAGGTGGGCCTGCCTTTCTCAGGACGTCTTTCTCTGGCTTTCCTGAATCCTGAAGGTTCTGTGTGGTACTGCCCAGTGGGTGTCCAACCTGGAAGTAAGGGTACCGAAGTTCCTGGAATGGCAAATGAGACATTAGGAAAAGTCTTAGCCAGGACACGAATCACCATGACGGTCACTGGACCAGCATGTGACCAGTTTATGACAGGTTCTAAGCCCAAACCAGCTATAAATCAGCACTCTGCACTGGTAACCCCCCTCTGTTTTACCATATCAACATAAAATTTACATATTAATTGAAGCACTTAAAAGTTATTTGATAAAGTATGGGCATGTATTCCCAGCACTAGTGGAGGCTGGATCAGAAAGATCACAAGATAAAGGCCAGCTTTGGCTAAGCAGTAAGTTCAAGGTCAGGCTGGACTACTAGGATCTTAGCTCTTAAATAACAACAAAGCAGACAGTTATACTGCTCTCATGTCTGCCACTTCTCAAAGTAGTCTAGCTAAACAAAGATGCTGTCATGGGTCTTAAACATCAAACTTCACCTTTCTGAGCTCATTTTCTTATTCTACTGAAAGAGAAAAATTAATGTGAAACTGAAAGAGCTAGGCCAGGCATAGTGGTGCACACCTTTGATCCCAGCACTCAGGAGGCAGATGTTGGTGGATCGCTGTGAGATGGAGGTCAGCCTGGTCTACAAAGCAAGCTCCAGGCCGACAGTAGCCATAGGGAGACCCTGTCTGAAAAACACCGAAACAAACAAAGAAAAAAAACAAAAGAAAAACACTGAAAGAGATGAACACAAGGATCTTGGAGGGCTCTGAAAAGTCAAGTAGAAAATAAGGTGGTTTACCTGTCATTACTCAGAAAGTACCAAGAACACAATACATGATACACTTAAGCCTCGCCAGTAAGACAAGGTTTAGTTGCCAATTGGTATCAAGCTTTCTGGACAAAGATTTCTGGATAACCAAGGGCTAAACCTTAAGTGCTTAGGGATTAAAATTCTTTATTAAATACGATATGTAGTCTCCTAAGTTTTTTTTTTTGTAGAAGCCATTGACAATAACAATACTTATTAAGAAGTCTGGCTATAAGTTATAAACATATGTAATTACTATATGTAAGTGCAAACTCAGAATCAAATAATGTGGGTACCCCAGCAGAGGTCTTACATTCTGGCATGTAACTTGAAAAGAATTCTTTGTCACTCTGGGCAGTTTTGCAAATCTGGTCTGATGTGGGTACTTTTAGCTGTCCTGACACTATTCTTTCCTTGGTTCTTGGTTATAGAAGTTTTGTTGTTGTTTTTTAATCTCATCTTTTACCTGCTTTTTTTTTAAGTGACTCCTCAGACATTTTCTCCTTTCTGCCCTGAAACCATTTGTGAATTTCACCATCAGGAGTGCATTTCTGAACTTTAAACCCTCTTGAGCCAGCCAGAGTCTTACACAGCAGATTATAGATTGCCCTTGAGAAAGCGCTCTTTGACCCCACTTCATTATTCCCCAGCTGCCACTTCTCCAGCAAATTCTAACATCACATTGGCACTTTCTGCATATAGCTCTTACTTTCATGGTACAAGATCACAAATCATGCTCTCTGAGTGGAACTGTTCATTTACTTGATGCTTTAAGCAGTGCAATTATTCATGAGACAAAGGTTCAAACATAACCTTCAAATTAAGGCTTTGGTGAGGGGGTTAGACAAGTGGTCAGGGCTACAGTGTTACCTCATCAATGTAGCCTGGGAGAGGGTGGGAGAGAAGATGGGAGGCACAAAGACATTCAGACGCCCTAACACCTATGTAACTGGATTATAGGTGGTTACAGGGCTGTATCATTTACTAAACACCTGATTAGGGAAAATCATTCAAACTTTCTGGGATTTACTTCTCTCACCACAGAAGTGAAAACAAAAATATGAAGAGCTCCTAGTCTTCGTCAGGTTGAAATCATATACAACAGACTAAGGCATATTATGTGCCAAGTGCAGCAAAGTGCTGGTGGCAGCCCTTAGCTAGCTCCATCTTATCTGTCTCCTGTCTTATGCCATCTGTACAATGGGTGAGTCGATTCATAAGAAATAGTTTAGCAGCTAATACTGACTTATCATTGAACTTTTTTTTAGACAGGGTCTCTTGGTAGCCTCAGCTAGCCTGGAACTCACCAGGCTGGCCTTGATCTCACAGAGATCTGCGTGCTTCTGCCTCCCAAGTGCTGGGATTAAAAGCGTGTGCTACCAAGCCTGACATACTACATAATCTTAACTCCTAGACAGTATATTTAAAACATCTCCAAACACAAAAAGATTTCTTTTTGTAAAATTTTTTATTTATTCTTCGACAAATTTGTGTTTATTCTCACTTCCAGATTAAATATCACACCATACATCACATATTGTGATATATTATGTGAACTATATTTTGCTAATGTTAAAGGAAATGTACTCTTCAATTATAACTACTTTTAACTGTATACAGTAAGTCTCAGTTTACCTTAAAATTCTTATACCTTATAGAATACACCACAAGTGGCAGTCAGAACTATTTTTCATCCATAATACTAAATAAAAAATTTCCCTTGCAATTTATAGAAAATTTTCAGAGTTCAGTATAGACTTCATAAGAAATGCTTTGAACAGAAAAAAATAAATAAATAGAGGAAAACCTGACTAGCCGTTGGTCGTTTCTTGGGATCCCACTGAAGCATGTCTCTCAGGAGCTGAATTGCTTCACTGCTAGGATCTGGAATCAAGGTCTTTAAGTTATTAGGAATGCACTGGGGCCAAAGGAAGTTCATAGCACTTGATAGATGGTAGCCTTCAGGCCAGTCAGTCTGAGAGAAAGAAGATAGAAAATCTTGCTCAGTAAGTTGCTGTACCTTGAGTTAGGATTGTTAGATGTGTGTCTATCACAGAAAAGCAATTCTATCATTACTGATGGAATCATAAATCAAAGCCCCCCAGATTAAAGTAAAACTAAGTTTCCCAAGCTATATTCTGGGAAACTGTACAAGGAAGCAAAAGAAAAATAATTCTAACTATAGAAAAGAAAAGATGACCTGACCTTTTCATGCTCCTTTGATCAAGCTGGAAAAATACCTGAAAAATCCCCCCTCCCATTTCTGCTGTAACCATGTAACCAAGCTTCTATTGTGACCCACTTCTTGTGGTTTGTGGTTTCTGTCTATATAACCTAGCTTCTAAACTGAATCGGGACTTCCCTTTTTGATTAAGGGGGAGTCCGCCTGGGCGATTAAATCCTCTTGCAATTGCATCTACTGGTTTGAGGACTGAGTTATTGGGGTGCGACCTCCCGAGAACGTAGGGTACCCTAGTCTGGGGGTCCTACAATTACTACACTGACATTCACTAGACAGCTATGTGATGAGGCCAGAGCTACATTAACGAAGAGACTTCAAGTGTGAAATCAGAAATGGCCAGACGAGACGGTGTTTTGCCACCGCTTGCTTTATAGCCTTAACAGATGGCAGTCCATGTCTTGGATTCGGGGACTGAAGCCCATGGCATTTGCCCAACTTTGCTCTATGACATGGGAGCTTTGGAAACCACTAATAAGATATTTTTGAGGGGAGGAATGAAATAAAGCAATACCTATTCCCAATCAAGCAAATCTGTGAGACTTTATGTGTTACTGTGCCCCAACTTGACAACTTTACATATGCTGAGAAGATTGGCGGAAACAGAGCTGTTCTTCCTGCTTGCAGGGCCTATGTGCTCATGCTGCAAATCCGCAGGGCATGAACTGCAGAATGAAGGATGAAAATGCCCAACAGCTGGGCTTAAGGCTCCCTCTAGTCCTAACACAATTGGTTTATAAGGCGTAATCTGACATACCTGCTTCCTCTCCTTTTTTTCTTTTTGGGCTTTTTGAGACAAGGTTTTCCTGTAGCCCCAGCTGGCTTGGAACTTGTTATGTAGACCAGGATAGCCTCAAATTCATAGAGATCCACCTGCCACTGCCTCCTGAGTGCTGGGATTTAATGTGTACCCAGCAGGACATTTATTTTAAAATACAGTCATACTGGGGCTGGAGAGATGGCTCAGCAGTTAGGAGCACTGGTTGCTCTTGCAGAGGACCAGGCTTCAACACCCACATGATGGCTAACAACCATGTCCAACTCCAGTTTCTGGGGCTCTAATACCATCTTCTGGCATCTACAGACATTGCACACACATGTGTGCACATGTGTGCACTTATATACAGGCAGGCAAAATACTCATAAACAGAAAATAAAAATAAATACAAAAATACAATAAAAATACAGAAGATAACAAATGACAAAGGTTATCAGAGGGGTGATACAGATACACAGAGAAGGGGAGAGGCCAGCAGGGAGCCTGGGAAATCTTATTAAAGAACTGGCAGTGCTGATTCATTCAAATGATTTTTTTAAGAGAAAATGTTCATTGTCTAGCATGTGTGAGGCCCTATGTTTGATCCCCAGGGCCACACAGAAAAAAAAGAGAAAAAAGATCTAATTCATAATGGCAATACTGTGGGTTGGGGAAACAGACATAACACAAACCTAACAACACAGAACACAGCTCTAGATGCAGCGACTGGAGAAACAGTGGGGAGGATTATTGAGGGTCAAGAATGAAGAAAGGGATCTGGTCACTGAAAAGACATTCACTCGGGCACTCTGCAGAGATGGGAACATGCCAGGGTATGCAGGTAGGCAGGGCACAGGAATAAAGAGGGGAAGGAATAAGTGAGTGGGAGGGAGCCAGGCAGTGAATGAATACTTTTAGGAGGGGAGGGTTTGATTGTAACCAGAGCTGCCAAAGACTGCAGCTTGGAGGGAAAAGACTGGAAGGCAGAAAGACTGCAAAGATATTCTAAGCTCAAAGTCAGAAGTGAATCTGAAAACACAGAGAGCTACGTGAGAGATATTCAATAGACTTACTGGAATATTCAATAGATTACTGACCAACCACTTGGACAAAGGGAAAGAGGACAAGAGGATAGAAGACCAAGTGGAAACTTAGCCTGAAGACTGGTCCTCTAGGGACTACGAGGAAAGGACAGGCAGAAAGAACCCGTAAACAAAAAGCCTTGTGATTCGGATGAGTTAAGTTTGAGGTGATGGAGTCAGGGAAATCCCTAAAACATTTGTGACAGAGTTATAAAGGTGGGGGAGAGGGGAGTGCAGACTGCATGAGAAGTGCATGTAACTGTGGCTGTAAGAATGGAGAAGCTCAGTAAAGGGTGAGATGGTACTGAGAGAGAGTTAGAGGGAGCCAGATATCATGCTTAAGAGCAAAGGGAGAAAAACAATCCTTGCCAGAGAACGTGGCAGTGGAGAACGGCCAAGGTCAAGTGAAAGACTCTAGAACAGGCCAATGCCATGGCTGTTAGCACTGGGAAGAGGTGGCACAAGCAGCTATTGGCTGTGGTCCATGGGCCTTTGCTTCATATCATTACCTTTTTTGGTGTTCCCAACACTTGGCAAATTTTGAAAATTGTGTCAATTTCACTGGCCCCAGGGAAGAGCGGCTGGAGGGTGTACACCTCTGCCATGATGCAGCCCACAGCCCAGACATCAATGGGGGAACTGTAGTTGGTGGATCTCAGGAGCACTTCTGGAGCCCTATACCTGGAAAGACAGAGTTCATGGCTAGCTATCACTTCCACTGGTCAGAAATTAAGTTCATATCAAGCAATTCTCAGTAAAACCTTATGGATTTGTTTTTTCCTCTAATCTAATGTGGTACAAGGACATGTAAGGACTTGGCAACTGTTATGGCCAATAATATTGGTGGTGTTAAATTGTTAGTGGTGTTAGGGTTGGGGAGGTGGCTCAATGGGTAAGAGCACCTGCTGTGCAAACATGAGGACCTGAGATGGAATTCCTAGCACCCAGAAAAAAGCCGACATGCTCATCACTCCAGTCTTAGGGAGCAGAGACAGGTGGATTCCATGAGCTCACTGGTCAACAGCCTAGCCAAAAGAGTGCGGTTCTAGATCAGTGAAAGATCCTATTCCAAGGGAATACATGATAAAGACACCCAATGGTCTCCCTATGGATATGCACACCCACACACTCCTGTGCACGTGTACGTGCCCCCTCCCCATCTCCCCAACCACACATACGTATATACGAGAAAAGAAAAGAGAGAGAGAAGGTAGTGATCTATTCCAGAGCTTCTTAAACTTTTCCACTGTGACACCTTTTCACTTGAAAAATTTTTATACATCTTCAGACATACATGTATTGAGGTATAGAGGTAAAGTGGTGTACAGATAGTACTCTGCTCACTGAGCCACACAGCCAGCCCCATCTAGTGATTATTTTAATTTAAAACTTTTTAATTTATTTGTATTTTATACATGAGTGTTTTGCCTACAACATGTGTGTTCAATGCCCATGGAGTCCAGAAGAGGGTACTGGATCCCCTAGAACTGGAATTATGGATGACTGCTAGCTGCCATGTGGGTGCTGGGAACTGAACCTGGGTCCTCTGCAAGAGCAGCCAGTGCTCTTGACCTCTGAGCCATCTGTGAGCCATCACAGCCCCTAGTGATCTTTTTATTATGGACAGTTGTTAGGTGCAAGAACAACCAGTGTTCTTAACCGCTGAGCCATCTCTCCAGCTCCCCTAGTGATCTTTTCAATGAAATTCAAGTCAGTAAATCAAATGCCAATTTTTAAAGTCAAACATTCTAACAAACTACAATCCAAACAAATAGTATTTTGATGCTAATTTGCTGAAGAATGATGGTAGGAACATGAAAAAGTCTTTGTTTTCCACAATCAAACCAGCATGTTTCTGCAAGAGCAAAAAATTCACATATAAATATGCTACATTTCATAACATGAAATAGTTCTGAACCTGAGCCGAGCTGTTTCGGGTGGTGTGTGGCATGAGCGCATGCACAGTGCCAGGTGCACATGATGTGTGTTCAGAACCAAAGCCGCCGTGAAGTCGTGCAATTTAACACAGGGTCACTGCCAGAAATACCTCAGACTTATGTAGTTGGTTCATTAGTTGTGTGCATTTTCTGCCTTTCACAGTGCCACAGTGAAAAACCCCACATTCAGTTACTTGGCCCCGTTTAGGTGTTTGATCCTCTGTTGCAACCCACAGTTTAAAAAGATAGACTGTACTCCCCAGAGTTTTCTACTGAGCATTTGCCCAGAGGAGTTGTAGTCTTCTTTTTAAAATTACATGTATGAACTGGGTGTGGTGGCACATGCCTTTAATTCCAGCACTTGAGAGGCAGAGGCAGGTGAATCTCTGTGAGTTCAAGGCCAGTTTGGTCTACATAGAGATTTCCAGGTCAGCTGGGGCTACAAGGAGACCCTGTCTCAAAAAGACCAAAATCAATCAATGAGTCAATTAGTCAATCAATCAATCAAAATTAATATAAAAAATAAAATAAAATTACGTGTGTGTCTGTGTGGGTACATGCCTCTGAGCCCTTAGAGGCTAGAGGTGTTTGATCCTTTGGGGCTGGAGTTACAGGTGGTTGTTAGCTGCTATGTGGATACTAGGAACTAAACTCAGGGCCTCTACAAGAAGAGCCAGTGCTCTTAACCACAGAGCCACCTCTCCAGCCACAGGAGTGTTCTCTCCAGCATGTTCAGAAAAACAGTGACACAGTGGAAGGAATTGGGAGGGGAAAAGAGATGGAGCAGGGAAGCGGGATGGGGAGAAACTGTCCCCAGGAAGGCTTTCAAATAAAAATTACTTCTACTGTGGAGAAGCATGGGGAGTTCCTTTTTTAAGATGGTTTATAACACAAGCTTATATCCTCATTCAGTAACAATATACCTACAGCATTGAGACTAGTGAGAAATTAATGCTTATGACTGATACTGTCCTCAGCAAAGTGGTATCTTCTTAAAGAAGTGCAATTTAATAATTCTGAGAGAAACAGTATTCACCATCTAGTAGATACATAGTCTGTGTATGGAGGTCTTGATTGGATTTCTTGGGCCAACCCAAAGTCTGCAATCTTCATAAGTTCTGGTCCCATGCAGAGGAGGTTCTCAGGCTTTAAGTCCCAGTGGAAGAAGCCTGCAGAGACTGTGAACGGATCTGAAGGCATGCGTCCTACTTTAGTGCTCCCTGCACCAGCTCTGCTCTTTTCACGGCATCTCTAACCTAAAACCCTGCCAGGTACAACACCAGACTGCAATCCCCCATGGACAATGCATAGCCTCTCAGACCTCTCTCAGGCCTTCAGTCATTTTCGTTCACAAAATCATTCCAAAGTTCAACTCCATACCTTTCATTTATAGGAAATCATGCCTCAAAAAGACCAAGAACTCTTTAAAGATATTGAAGCTCTTTGGCTGAGATAACTGTGCAAACCAAACTACTTCAGGGGGAGAAATATCATTACTCAAGTCAGAAAGATGAGACTAAAACTTCTTCAAAAGTCAATCAATTTATAGGTACTAAATTTATACCACAGGGGGAAAAATCATAACTTTTTTAGGAGACAAAGTTTTGATGGATATGGTCTACTCACACCTGAGATTCTGATATGTGTTGTCTTCTTGAGACAGGGTCTCCCTGTAACCCCAGCTGGCCTGGAACATGCTATGTAGACCAAACTGGCCTTGAACTCACAAAGATCCCCCTGCCTCTGCCTCCCAAGTGCTGGGACTAAAGGTGTGCACCACCACATCTGGCTTGATTCTGGTACGTGTTGTGACACATGTTTGAAAGTTCAGTACTTAGTACTTTGCCCAATACGTACCTCACACTGTAAAAGCAAAGACAGATCATCAAATGAGACGTCTCTGTTCCAGCAGTGCTCTCCAGATGCAGCAAGGAGATGCTCAGTGCATGATTCTTCCAGGCGCACTCAGACACCCTGTGATTGGCAATACAGATGCCTCAGAAATCCCCAAACTGCCTGGTTCCTGAGTATCACAAGGGCATCACTCAGTGTGCCTCTAAATCTCACTGGACACCCAAACAGGAAATACAACTTAGTTGGTGCTGCTGGTGGATTACTGATTAGTGAGATGCTGTCATTACCAATGGTGCGAAAACTGCGTTCTAATTAGTACACTATAGAAGAAGTTAATCGCATCACTGAAGACCTACACTATTCCTTGACAACTACTGGGCTGTCAGCACCCACGTTACCAGGATCATGACTGGATGCCACCTTCATTCCTGTGCCAGCTTGTCCCAAATTACCTTTGCAGATTCTCTCTCCTCACACTTTTAATAATATTATCAAGTACTCTGTGGTGGAGTTGTATCCATCCTTTCCCTGACAGTGATGGGACTGTCCTGGCCTTCCTCCCTTTCACCTGCCTGTTAAGGTTCAGATAGTCCTGACGGCTACTTTTCACCTATCACTGCCTTCCAAGCTGCTCTTACTACCTGGCTGTACTACTACATTCTCACAGACAGCCTGCTTCATCTTCTCTGGACACATTCTACTAATTTAAATACTCTTGCTACACACACACACACACACACACACACACACACACACCTCTTTAAACTGTTTAACAAAGCTGATATCCTTTGATCTACCTAAAGAGGTAAATGTATTTTCCAGCTGGGGAGATGGTTCAGTGGGAAGGACATGACTAGCATGCACAAGGCCCCGAGGTTCAATCACCACTACTGAAAACTATATTCTCCAACTCCTATCATCAGTTGTGTAGGGCACACTCCACTCAGGTGAAATCACTAATCACATTTAAGTTTACTGTATTTATTCCTATCAGCGATGTCTTACTATTGCCCCTTTTATCTGCATTGATCCCAATCTTTACCACCCCCAAGACTTATTTTGAGTTGCTTTTTGTCTGAGAAGCCATTTCATGTGATTGCTCTTTTTCCTTCTCTTATTCTGCCAAGAAATATTCAGAGGCCATGCCAGGCGATGGTTTGGGTTGTGTGGATTCAGAACAAGTTGAATGGCCATGGTTCGTGACCCTTGCCCTTACAGACATAACAGGCCCTTCCCCTGAACTTGTGTAGAGCTCTATCATTTATGGATATGATCACATTTTTCACTAATTAGAGGGAAGCACTTTAACAGCACAGACCTTTTACATTTCCTTTGAATGCCTCACAGCAGGCAAAGACATGATGATCTCAAGACACAGGCTTGTTGACTGAATAGAGGGAATGATATGTTTGTAGGAAGCATGAAGGTACTTAACAGTGTTGAATCTACCTGGGTCAAATAGGCAGGGTCAAGGGACCAGAGCAGATCTGTGGGGACAGTGAAAGAGAGAAAGTACCCAAAGACCGACAGAGAACTGAGGGAAAAGTGCAATGGCTCTGAAGTAGTGTGGGGCAATGAGGGCTCATTGTGGGATGTCTGCATCACAGACGGCACTCCCATAGGACTCAATCAGCTAGCCAAGGCCCTTTTCCAAAGACCATCTCTGCTCTACAGAAAGGTGACTGTGATGTGTTTGCATGTGAAAATTCATTACATGCCATGTATGATGGAAAATGGTAATGTTTAATAAAAGGACACTCTTCTCTGATTAGTATTCTGAAGACAACAGGGCTTAGCACCAGGCCAAGCTCCAAATGCATAATTGTATAGCATAATGATGGATCTGCAGGGCAAAGGGCTGCCTTAGCTGGAGAGGGAATATGATTACAGAGCCTGGGACCCCGTGCACATGTGAGACCGTAGGCGACAAATGAGAGGAAGAAGTACTTCCTTCACAACACAGGGCTATTTGTTTTGCATATCTCAAGGAACTGAGGAAGTCAGAGTCAGGTCTGGATTAGACAAGAGATAGGCACATCAAATTGGCTATCTTACAGTATATGCATAAGTGTATTTGTAAGCATACACATATGCATGCTATACATATATTCATGCTGTCCATATGCATGTTATATGTATACTGTGGAAATACATATAAAAAACACATCTCATTGCTCCATATTTATTCTGCCACTGTACTAGTGGCTTTCCATAGACCAATTTCTTCAAGAATCCTTACTCAAATTTGTGGAAAACCATACAAAAATTATAATAAGAACCAAACTTGAGGTTGTCAGCACAAGAAACACAGAGTAATTCAATATTAGTCAAGACTGGCTTTTAAAATTAAAAAAAAAGTCTGATATGAACAAATTCAGAGGGTTTATTATTGGCCCAATGAAACAGATTATCCACCCACCAGAGTGAGAGGTCTGTTCTAAGACCTAGTGTAACTGAGTCACTGTACTGGGACCTCTATTCTTGAGAACACCTGCCATTTCCCAGGCCTGTCTGTGCACACCTACCTTAGAAATGGCTTAAGAGTGCATTAAAACATAGGCAATTATTAAGAGTTAATGGTCCTAAGATGATTCCCAGGATCCTTGAAAAAATAAGAATGATGAGGCTCTGCTTTCAGAACACTGAAAATGCCAATGAAGGAAGAAATGGCAGGCATCGTTTTCTGACTGAACAGACAGGAAACTGAGTCCTGAGCAGGAGGTAACAAACTATTCACAATTCCACCAATTGTCTCAGAATGTCATGCACCACCCTCTCCCTCTTGGCTCTATTACTAAATCCTGATTTGTGGCTTTAGTCCTGTCAAGTCCAGATTACTGTCAACTCTCCTAAGACTCCTCTTCCTTCCTCCAATGGGGGCATTATTATTTACAAAGGTAGGTGGCATTTCTCTTATACTGATTCCTATGTCCTCAAGGATCCTCCACCCACAGCAACTCCCTCTGGCAGCATCTGTAACACCCACACCAATTCCCATCCTCCCATTCAATTCATCCTATCAAACTGACTTGTTCTCACATACAAACATCACTCATACCCTCCAAATCTGTTCTCTGCATCCACGAGTCATGAAGCACCAACCACACTTCCCCAACAGCCAAGCCCTATCCTTTCCCCAACTACTTAGTCCTCTTTAATCACAGGGAGCATACACACTAATCAAATAGGGGAACAAAGATTCCAATTCCCTTTCATACTTTATCTGTTTTAGTCAAACATTACTATTTCTACACATGAGGCAATGCAGCTTAGGAGCTGAGTGTGTAGACCAGCAAGGATGCCTGATTTCAAATCTCAGTTATGTCACTCACTGGCTGAAAAGTCATTTAACCTTTCAGTGCCTCAGCTTCCTCATCTGTAAAATAGAAACAATAGCTTCTACCTCATGGGCTTCTTTTGCAGAATGAAACACACTCGACCTGTAAAGCTGTAAGACAGCAATGCTGGCACACCAGCACCCTGAAAGAGCTAGTCAGTATTAAAACGACTACTAGAAAGTTCTCTCCTTTATTCTCCCCTAAACCTGTCAACTTGGGCAGACAATTAAGGAGCCATTTTTTGAGGACTAGAATTAAGGCTTGTGGGACTACTGAGAGGCACCATCTGTGAGGAGATGGTGGCGTCAGAGCCTTGATCTGATTCCTGGCTGGGTCTGTGCTCTGCTGCTATGTGCGGTGTGGCTGTAACAATGAGCCCTCTCCTCCCTTTGGGCTCCTGACTGACAATGGAAATCCTCATAGTTGGGCCATCTAGAGAGCATTCAACAACAGTATGATGCTACAGTGAAAAACTTCCTGTTTAAAATGGCTTGCAGAAGACAGAAACAGACCCTTAATTTAAGTTCAGGCACTTCCCATCTGCTGAATAATAGGGGGATTTTCTTTTTCATTCTGATAGAAAAAGTATGGTGCTTATTTTTCATTAATAACTTCAAGGAAGAAAGAAAAACTTCAAGCCTCAAGGAAGATTTTTTCCCCTACGCCACATTCTATTATTGATGAATTTGATATAAATAAATGGAAATGACCCAAGAATAAGCATTATGAATTTATGCGGCACATCTTCCTGATGTAGAAGTAGTTTCAGACAATTCTCTCTCTCCATCCTTCCCTTCTCCTTTCCCTCATTTCCTCTCTTCCTTGAATTTAAACCTACAGTGTTTATGTCAAGATAAAAAGTAGGCCATGGCAACAGCCACACACAAACAGCCGAAGAACTGTCTCAAGATCATGCACTTCCAGACGGTTGTCAAACTCAGAAGCAGAGAGCTACCTTTGGGGCAAAATGCTGCCCTCCAAACCATTGAGTGCCTTTCTAGTACTTTCATAGGTAAGTGTACCCTGGATGTTTGTAAGGGTGGGTAAAAGATGACCCATGCAATCTGCACTAAATTCCGGCAGGTACGTGAGCTCTGGCATTGTTCATTCCCTCTGGGGGAAAAAGACTCAGTGACAGGAGCACAGCCATAGCAACTACCTGCCGTGCTTTTCTTTGGTCTCAAAGGAGTCTACCCCGCAGGGCAGGCTGTACC